GTGGAGCCTCGGTAAGCTGCACTGTCGCCTCCTCTCTCCCCATCAGAGCACTGGAGGTTTGGAGGTCATTCCTCTCATTTTATTTTTTTTTGAGATGGAGTCTTGTTCTGTCTCTCAAGGCTGGAGTGTACTGCAACCTCCGCCTCCTGGGCTCAAGGAATTCTCCTGCCTCAGCCTCCTGAGTAGCTGGGATGATAGGCATGTGCCACTACACCCAGCTAATTTTGTATTTTTAGTAGAGACGGGACTTCACCATGTTGGTCAAGCTGGTCATGAACTCCTGACCTCAGATGATCCATCCATATCGGCCTCCCGAAGTGCTGGGATTACAGGCATGAGCCACTGCACCGAGCCTCCTCTCATTTTCAAATGGGGAGACTGAGGCTAGGCAGTGGGATGACTTTCAGAAGCCTTGCACCAGGTGCTGAATTATATACACTAGCTCCTGTGATCCTTAACCCCATCTCTAAAGCACATGTATCATTATGTTGCCTTTATAAGTGAGGAAACTGAGGCTCAGAGGGTCAGTTGATTTTCTAGAGTCACACAGGGTGAAGGGGTAGCATGGATTCCACCCCTGGCCAGTGGCATCCCTCTCCCTTCTCTGTTCCCTCCCCTTGGGGCCGTCATCTGAGTGCTCTGAGAATGAACCTGGACCCTGACAACAGATACCCTTCATCGAGTGCTGCAATCTGCAGAAGGGGTCGCAGTAGAGACGCTAGGAGGGTAACCCGGAGCCAGTCAGCGAGGCAGAGGGACTTTGGGTGAGTTATTTACCTCCTTAAGCCCCAGCCTCTTCATTGTTAAAGTAGGTCTAACAATCACACTCATGGTATAGGACTGTTGTAAAGATTAATGGGATCGTATAGGAAAGGGGTCGGTGCCTGGCATGGGTTTCTTGGGCCTCAACATGGGTGCTGCTATTGTTACTGTTATTGTTATCCCAAGACCTGAGGCTAGGCACCCTCCCTCTTGTCTTTCTTTCCTTCTTTCTCTTTCCTTCCTTCTTTCCTTTCTTCCTTCCTTCTTTCTTTCCTGTCTTCCTTCCTTCTCTCTCTCTTTCTTTCTTTCTTTCTTTCTTTCTTTCTTTCTTTCTTTCTTTCTTTCTTTCTTTCT